TTTTGTATTTTTAGTAGAGACAGGGTTTCAACATGTTGTCCAGGCTGATCTTGGATTCCTGGCCTCAAATGATCCTCCCACCTCAGCCTAGTTTTGTGTTTTATATTCTTTTCCCCACTCAGTTAGTTTGAAATGTCATGAGGATAGACACATGTGTGAAGATAGACACATTATTAAGAGATGTTATCATCATGGGTTCTAAGAGAATGTTTTATGGAGAGTAGCTTTGCAAAGACTAAAGTCTCTGACAGATCATCAGGCATTAGATTCTCATAGGTTGGCAACCTAGATCCCTCACATGGGCATTTTACATTAGCACTGAGCATCTTTATTATGATAACTTTGGTTGATGTTTTACAGTTAAAAAAACTCTCAGATCATCTAATTCTCACAAATGTCTTGTGAAGCAGACAGCTCAGAACCATGGCTCTTAGTTTACAGATGAAGAAAGAGAGGCTCAGATGAGGCTGATTTACCCAAGTTAAAGTGAAAACAAATTAACATTTTTTGAGTGTTCACTAAATGTTGAGGCACTTGATAAGCCCTTTATATTTAGAGTATATAACATGATATTCACTGCATCCTTATGAAATAGGTAACCATTATTATTATTTCCATTTTACAGATGAGGAAACAGATATGTAAAGGTCAAGTAATTTGCCTCAAATTGCATAATCAAGAAGCATAGAGCCCAGCTTAAAACCCAGATAGTCTGGCTCAAAGTGCAGATGATAAACTACTACGCTAATGAGTAGCATTGGGAGTTCTCCAATGAAGCACACGGTGTTACTTGTATTTGCTACTAATGTCTTCTTTTTTTTTTTTTTTGAGATGGAGTCTCACTCTGTCACCCAGGCTGGAGTGCAGTGGCGTGATCTCGGCTCACTGCAACCTCCGCCTACCGGGTTCAAGCAATTCTTCTGACTCAGCCTCATGAGTAGCTGGGATTGCAGGTGCACGCCATCACCCCTGGCTAATTTTTTTGTATTTTTAGTAGAGACGGGGTTTCACCATGTTGACCAGGCTGGTCTCAAACTCCTGACCTTGTGATCCACCCACCTCAGCCTCTCAAAGTGCTGGGATTACAGGCGTGAACCACTGCGCCTGGCCAACTACTAACATCCTGGTTCAATCCAGCTACTTGAGGCTTTTTTTTTTTTTTTTTTTGAGATAGAGTCTCACTGTGTTGCCCAGGCTGGAGTACAGTGGCATGATCTCGGCTCTTGGCTCACTGTGGCCTCCACCTCCTGGGTTCAAGTGATTCTCCTGCATCAGCCTCCTGAGTAGCTGGGATTACAGGCATGAGCCACGGTGCCCGCCCTAGGCTGCTAATTTTTTTTTTTTTTGGTTTAACCTGTCTGCAGTTTTGCCTTGACTTAGAATTCATCAGCTGGGGCCCACAGTGATATCATTGCATAGGACTGAAGTTATATCAACTAAATTCAGATAAAAATCTCCTACATTAATTAATTAAACAAATTGTTGAGTACATTTGCTAATTTTGTTAGAGGTGCTCATTGCTTAATAACTACAGGACACATTCTATTGAATATACTGGGAAAAACTTGTATCTTTCTCTGAAGATATACAAAAGAATATTAAGAAGCATAAAAAATATCTGTCCATAAAAACATGATTATGGCCAGGTGCAGTGGCTCACGCATGTAATCCTAGCATTTTGGGAGGCCACAGCAGGCGGATCACGAGGTCAGGAGTTCGAGACCAGCCTGGCCAACATGGTGAAACCCTGTCTCTACTAAAAATACAAAAAATAGCCGAGCATGGTGGCAGGCACCTGTAATTCCAGCTACTCGGGAGGCTGAGGCATGAGAATTGCTTGAACCTGGGAGGCAGAGGTTGTAGTGAGCCGAGATCATGGCACTGCACTCCAGCCTGGGCAACACAGCAAGACTCCATCTCCGGGAAAAAAAAAGAGTGATTATATGAGTTATTTTTATTTTTATTTTTATACAGGGTCACCCAAGCTGGCGTGCAGTGGCACAATCTCAGTTCACTGCAACCTCAGCCTCCCAGGCTCAGGTGATCCTCCCACCTCAGCCTCCTGAGTAGATGGGTCTATAGGTGCATGTCCCCATGCCTGTCTAATTTTTGTATTTTTTGTAGACATGGGGTTTCTCTATGTTGCCCAGGTTGGCCTTGAACTCCTGGGCTCAAGCCATCCACCTGCCTTGGCTTCCCAAAGTGCTGGGATTATAGGCATGAGCCACCCCGCTTGGTCTATATGATTTCTTTTTAAATCATTATCTCTTCAAGGAGATAACAATCACCAATAGGTTTTGTATAGATCCAAACCCTCTGCTTATGGATTCTCTTAACATGATACTTCGTAATTGAAAAGAGAATATGAAAATGCCAAACTTTGTAGCTTCAAAGAACAACAATAACATAAAGCCTTTGCCTAGAGATCTAGATAGGAAAGTGATCCCGCCAAAATTTTGGGCCTGTGTGCAGGGCTGTGACCCAAGCTAGACACCTAGGGTCAATCAGCAGAGTTTGGTGCAGAGGGTCATTTGTGTGTCTTTTGAGTATCACTGACTGCATCTCAAGATCATGTTAGAACAAGTATTGGCTCCTATTTGGTTTTTTGTGTTATCTTGCCTCTTCCCGTCTCCATTATGGATAATTGAGGTTTTAATATATGGTAGTGACATTCTAGCAGATGAAGGAAGGGGGCAGTCCCCAATGGGCAGTCTGAACTTCTGCTTCGTATATTTACTCTTGCTGTTTTCCTTCCTCCTCATTTGTAATTCAAGAGGCTCTCTGAGAAGAGACAGCAAAGCTTCTTAGATGGATCGAAAGACCACGAGCTGGGATACCAAGTTCTACGGAAAGGTCAGCTATTGAATTTGCTCTGCTACCTTCAGGCAAATCATTTGATCATCGGATGCTCTGGTTTCTTCCTGTGCCTGCTAAATGTAAAGAGCATGGGTTTGAGTGTTTTGTGGTTATTATAGAGTATTTTAAATGTATGAGTGATTTATTTTTTCCAGGCCAGCTGCTCAGATATAAAACAAAATCTGCTCCTTTGAGCTGTTAGGCTTCGTGGCAGTCAACTGACCCCAAAATCCTTCTGACTACAGCAGCCATCTACTTGCTTGTTCATCTGAAAACATTTTGCAGTCTCTGAGCTACAGCTATGTTGTCTGACTCTATAGCTGGGGCATACCTTTTTGTCTCCTTTGTCTTCAGAAAGGAAATATGCCATTTTATGCACTCCTGCTGCTTTCACCCCCACTTTAAAAAGATGAAGGCTTCCTTTTGTGACAGAGTTGCTTTGTCTGTTAACACTGATCCTAAGAGACAGGAAGGAGAGGTGACATGGTAAATAAACAGTTAGTGGACTTGCTACCGTAGTTCCTTTTTGATGATTTGGGCCAGGACCACTAGAGGTTTGAACTAGATTTAGTAAGGCTTGGGCTCTTTGGGGTTTTGGCAGGAAGCAGTCAGGGAGTATATTGGAGAGAACACAAAATACCGCCCCCCACCCACCCTCTGCCTTTTTGTTTGTTGTTACAGCCTGTTACATTAGGCAACAAGATATCTTTGTTAGCCAAAGGTGGCCAGCTGAGATTCTTAGAAGCTAATAAAAAGAGCTGTTGGGCTGGGTACGGTGGCTCACGCCTGTAATCCCAGCACTTTGGGAGGCTGAGGCAGGCGGCTCACGAAGTCAAGAGGAGACCATCCTGGCCAACATGGTGAAATCCCGTCTCTACTAAAAACACAACAATTAGCTGGGCATGGTGGTGCGCACCTGTAGTCCCAGCTACTTTGGAGGCTAAGGCAGAAGAATTGCTTGAACCCGGTAGGCGGAGGTTGCAGTGAGCCAGGATCGTCTCACACTGCACTCCAGCCTGGAGACAGAGCGAGACTCAGTGTCACGGAAAAAAAAAAAAAAGCTGTTGGGTAAAGAATGATTTTGTTCCACATCTGTGGCTCACCACCCCACTGTTTCATAAATGAAAATCTCTGATGCGCAACATCGAATTAACCAAAAGGTTTACTTCTTTTGTTTTGAACTTAGACACATTTACATTATTTCTGGTGCAGTTAAAAGCACTTTCCAAACAAACCTAGTAAAGTATTAAAGTTAGGGACCCCCACGAAATATGTTACTCCTTAATTGTGGCGTGGCTATCAGCAGGAAGAACTGCAGTCACAGGAACACAGTGTACTTAACCCTTCAGTTCTGAAATGTTGCTAGGTCTTCTCGTGCTATAACTGATCAAATAAATATCCGGGTTAAACACTGCTCCCAGAGCTGAGTTCGCTCTGAGTGTTGGGTCCACCTTTCCTTGTTAATTCAAGGAAACAAGTCAGCCAAGGAGTCTAACTTGAGGTCTTCATTCTTGGGCAGGGCCATCAATACATCTAAAACATTACTTGTGGGTACCCAAGCTGCGGTAGCTTCCCTAAAAGGCAGAATTTTCACTCATTCCTTATAGAAACACGTAGCCAGCAACTTCTCAGGCTTGGGGAACGGGGCAGGCGGGTAGTGGTGGTGGGAAGGGGAGAGGAGAGGAGGGAGTCTAGCAGGTCGGTTCTAAATGCAAACTGGAAACTACGCATCGGAGCGGGTAACCAGTACTGGCAGCATTCGTCTCCGGGAAGAACCTGTGTGTGTGTCAGGATGCACAAAAGGAATGACTCCCCTCTTTGCGCCCCCGGAGTTAACTGCACGACCCGGTCAAAGTCCCGCCGTGGAGTGGGATGACGGTCCAGAGGTAACGACTAAGGCCAGGAAAGCCTAGAGGTCCTTCCGGCACCACCTTAGAGGGGCAGGAAGGCTGCAGTTACCGCCTTCGGAAGTGATCGCCTCACCCCTCAAAAAAATTAAAAGCACCTCCGCCATTACCAGAGGCCGAGGCAGGGCCGGGACACGAGAACGCGCTCCGGGCGGATGCGCGCTCCCTTTGTCCCGCCTCCCAGCGGCCTGCTCACTGGACCGAGGGAGGACGCCGGGAGAGAAAACGCCGCGGCCGCTCGTAAGTGCTCCGGGTAGAAACTGGTGCAGGGGGCAGTGGCGTTCCGCGGTCGGAAGGGATGGGGGAGGAGCCGAGGCTGCGCGCCGGCTGCTCCTCCCCACCCCCAGCCTCTGCCCTGAAGGGGGCTGGATGGGCAAGTCGGACGCGATGGCTCGAGCTCGGGCGGTGGCGGCTGTGGCCGGAGGCGGCGGTGCCTCCTCCTCCTCGCCCCGGCGCCGGCGGTGATCGGAGCGAGCTGCCGCGGCCCCCGATGAGACTGCTGGTGGGCTGGCTGTGCCTGAGCCTGGCGTCCGTGTGGCTGGCGCAGAGGATGTGGACGCTGCGGAGCCCGCTCACCCGCTCCCTGTACGTGAACATGACAAGCGGCCCGGGCGGGCCGGCGACGGCCGCGGGCGGCAGGAAGGAGAACGACCAGGTACGGGTCGGGGCTGGGGCCGGGGCGGGGGCGTGGCGGCCCGGCCTTCCCGCGCTGGGCCCGGCTATTGTGCGGGGCGGTTCCGCGAGGGGGCGGCCCGGCCCTTGCCCCTCCGCCTCGGCCTCTCGGAAAGTTTTCCCCGCGCCTTCCCCGCCGGGCGTCGGCTTCGCGAGCCCCGGGGACCCGGGCCCGGCCCCGCGAGCGCCTTTTGTTCCGCGGCGCAGGCGGGGCATGGCCTCCCCTTCCCCCTCCCGGGCCCGATCGCGAGCGCCCCGGAGCCCCGCATTGTTCCTGGGTCCCGGGCGGTGACTGCGGACACCCGGCGGCGGGACTGGGGAACTTTGGGGCCAGAGCGTGACCGGGGGCGCCCGCTTGGCACCGAGGCCTGAGACTGAAGAGACCCGGCCAGATCCATTACCCCCGAGAAACAAAACGAAAAGCCAGCACCTCTTTTTGTCTCGTTGAATCGCAGAACGTACAAAGGGTCGTAAAAGAAATGTAACTGTACATCGCAAGCCATTGAACTCTCCGGGCTGATTCGGGTGACATTTCCCCCTAAGCGCTTAAAAAATGGGTTTGACAGGTTGTCGCTCCCATCCTACGGAACCTTCCCCTCCTACCTAGCAGAGATCTCCTTTAAACTTGGATTTAGTCAGCCTGCTGGAAAGATTGTGTGTGATGAGGAGGAAGATTATGCAAGTTTTACAGGAAGCATTTTTAAAACCGAACGGGACGGGAGGGAGTTGTAGTTATGCATCGTGAGCGTTGCGCTGTGACCTGGTAGGTAGGCTTTTCATTAGCTCGGTCTTGTGCCACTTAAACGTGTACAGGTTAACTGTAGAATTAGGTGAGATGTTTCGTATTTGACCGTAACACAGTTTGCAGTTAATGTTAAATTCATTGAAAAGAGGCTTTTGAACTCTGCCAGAGTGTTGTCTTGTCATAGCTAGCATTTATAGTACATTTTGCTTTTCCATGGATCACTAATTATTCCCTATATCATCTTGTGTCTCATCATTTTCATATATTTCTCATTTTCCTACGTTACTTTTTTATTATGCCAGGTGTTCAGAGAATTTACACCCAGGTTGATTTCATGTGTTTTAATGAGGGTAGAGAATTGTCTAAGAAGGAGATAGAGCAATTTAGAAAAGTAGCATTTCGTTTTTAGTAATATTTATATTGGACTTTTTTCTATTTGTAAAGGAATGCTAAATTTCTGTAAATTTTTTTGAAAGCCTTCAGCCACTGCAGTTTGTTAGATGCAATATCAGTATCATTGATCACTTGTATGATATGGTTAGGAATGTACGTGAACTTAAATTACAAAGCCACATTTATTCCTATGGATTATTTACTTAGTTCATATAGAGACAACTCAAAGTACTGTACCGTTAATTGTACGGTTATCAGAATGTCACATATGGAACAGTGGTGTAGACAATGAATTAGAAATGTCATTTTTAACATTTTTATAAATAAGGTGCTGGATAGGAGAAAAAGCGGTTTATCTCCATTGATGTGGGATTATGATTGAGTCTCTTAGCTATTGGTATTTATGATAACACTTATCATGATTACCCCTCCTGCAGCCACTTGATATGTTTTCATTGCTCATAAAAGAATTGCACTTATCTTAAAAATTGAAACACTGTTTCAACACTGATTTGTATGGAGGTAGAATTACAGCTGTAGACATAGCCTCAGAATATCTCCCAGCAGAGGATACTTTTCTAATTGTGTACCTTTTTAAAGCTGAATCTGTTAGGTTCTAATGAAGACTAATACTGGTTTCAGATACATTTATTTCAGATACTATATATTGTGTGTGTGTGCGTGCGTGTGTATACCCCTTCACTAACAACTGGGCAGATAATTTCTTTAGGGTGAAGACTTAATCTGGTATTTTCTGAATATTTGGGGGAGGGGTCAACTCTTTTCCTTAGAATAATGAATCCAGACATTATTTTGACATGAATACATTCATATTATGAAGATAACAGTCCATGAATAAAGATTAAAATGAACAGAAGAAAGCTCTGTAGAAACCACCATGAGATAAAGTAGGAAACTGTCCTTTCTGCACTGTGGCTGAGTTGATAATTTGTTTTCCACTTAATATTCCGGGATCCTGTGTTTGCCTTATAACTTCGTTGCTTGTGAAATAACTGTAACTGTTTTTCCTCCTTCAGATTAATAGTTTTATACAAGGTCTTCTAAGTGTTCAGTTGGGTGTGTGAGTTCCATAGCCAGCCACATCTGGTTCTTTTGGAGTTGCATAAAAGCAGGGTTGTGGATTTGATTGAACCATACTTAGTGCAAGTTTTCCTTCTGGTTATTTTATTAAGGAATTATGATGGAGGATTCTGTGGTTAAAAGAGAGATCTTGGGCAATGTTTATTCATTAAAAATTGCTATTTTGTTAGTGTAGTGTAGTTTTTGCTATTTTGTTAGTGTAGTTTGGAGAGGCAAGCAGTGCCATTTTAGTAACTTGGTTTGGTGTGCTAGCTTCAAAACTGGGATTATGTTTCACTTTAGGCAAGCAAGAAGCAGGGTTTCACTTAGATCAGGGAAGTGGCCCAGAGGCCAGACTGGTCTCACAGACATATTTTTTACAGCCTATGAAATAAGAATGGTTTTATATTTTTTAAATAGTTACCAAGAAAATATCAAAATAACATTTTGTAATACATGAAGTTTCATTTATGAAATTCAAATTTATTTGTGTCCACAAATAAAGTTTTTTTTTTTTGAGATGGAGTCTCGCTCTGTCACCCAGGCTGGAATGCAGTGGCCCAATTTTGCTTCACTGCAACCTCTGCCTCCCAGGTTCAAGTAATTCTCATGTCTCAGCCTCCTGAGTAGCTGGGATTACAGGTGCATGCCACCACACCCAGCTAATTTTTGTATTTTTCAGTAGAGATGGGGTTTCACTGTGTTGGTTAGGCTGATCTTGAACTCCTGCCCTCAAGTGATCCTTCTGCCTGGGCCTCCCAAAGTGCTGGGATTACAGGTGTGAGGTACCATGCCCAGCCCACAAATAAAGTTTTATTGAAAGAGAACTACCACATTCATTTACCTGTGGTCTGCAAGCTCCCAGGCTACAACAGCAGCATATTTGCTACTGTATGGCCTGCAAGCCTAAAACATTTACTATGTGGCTTCTTACAGAATAAAGAATTTTTGCAAGAGAAATTCCCAGCTTTCTTAACAGCTTTTTTTTTTTTTTTTTTTTTTTTTGGAGACAGGGTCTCACTCTGTCACCCAGGCTGTAGTATAGTGGCACAATCTCGGCTCACTGCTGCCTTGACCTCCTGGGTTCAAGCGATTCTCATGCCTCAGCCTCCCAGTAGCTGGGATTATAGGCGTGCGCCAGCACACCCGGCTAATTTTTTTGTAGTTTTAGTAGAGACAGGGTTTCACCATGTTGGCCAGGCTTGTCTTGAACTCCTGGCCTCAGTGATCCACCCACATCGGCTTCCCACAATGCTGGGATTACAGGAGTGAGCCACTGTACCCAGCCTCCAACAGCATATTCGTAATCACAGGTTGCAGGGTGGGTAGATTGACTCTCTGGGAAGAAATAGAGGCAGGCAGTGAGACTCTAGTAGGTATTGTCACTTTTCAATGTTGGCAGACTCAGAATTTAAAAAGACAACAACAAAAAACTTAGGATCTATTCTTTTTGTTGCATTGCACCTGGTGCTTAAAGTTAATGCATCTATTACGGAGCTACTGAAACTATGAAGGGACCCGTAGGCCCCAGGTTCTTGGTAATAATAGCCGTTCAATAGCTTCTCAATTGATGGAGTGAAAAAATTGTTATAGAACTCGTTGAACCAAACCACAACGATTTCTCCAGGTGACATACTGCAAGGTGTTTTAAAAGCACAGATAACATTAAATATCTGGACTTACTAAGGTGTAACTTAAAATTGCAAGTATGTGTATAGGAGTGACTTATTTTTTCACTTTCTTATATAAGCTCAGAACTGTGCTGTGCCCACAAGTGATGATGAATTCAAGAAAGAATTAAAATCCTTTTTTTCCCCCAAATGAAAAAATACTTGGACAGCCTAGCCAGAGCCAAACACTGTGCTAAAGGACGGAGTGTTTCCTTTCCCTGTAGCCCTCATTTACCTTGTGGAGGCAGACTGGAGTCAGGCATGAGTTAACAATGCTTCAAGGATAGTCAGCCAGCTAAGCCGGACAGACAGTGATGGATTGGTGTCCTCCTCTGAACTGCCTTCGAGAGTCTGGAGGCCTTTGTAGCTGAATACCAAAGAGACTTCGGAAAGGATTTCTCTCCTTCCTCATAATCTGTGTTGAAACCTCAACAAGTGTTTGCTTCAATTTCACAGAATGTTACAATCTCTTTCTTGTGCTGGATATACCAGGAGTCTTTATGTTTCTCTTTGGAGGTGCCCTAGAAGACCCTAATGGCGTCCAGTAAAAAGCTCTGTTGTGTAGACCCTCTGAAGCTTTGTTAAAATTTTAGGATTATCCTGTCCTACAGGGAGTGAGTACTTAGTATTTGCAGTGAGGATTGTCAGTAATTTGTTATTAAGTCAAAGCTGAAGCAATTTAATCTGTTTTAATTGATTCCCCTCATGGATATGAGGGTGCCTGTCACTCTACACATTGAAATCTCCCATAAACAGGTTATGGGTTGGGTTTATATTGTTTGTGGGAAAATGGTGAATGGTCTGAATATTTACTCCTGTGCTGTGCTTAAATGCAAGGTGTCTATGGTGAAATGTCTGCACTGAGTTGATTGCATTGTAAAATCTTAGAATGTGAATTTGGAATCCTTAGCTGTCAAGGTCTGTTGAAGGAGTTGGTCTGGCCAACTCAGAAAAGATTCTGTGTTCATAGACCCTGAGCAGTGGAGCTTTTCTGATTGTTTTTGGTAGCACTGAATGCCTTGGGTCTTTGATTACCCATTTCTTTTGAGAGTGGCTGGATGCCCAGACTTACAGTGTGGTTTTTAGGCATGCCCT